GCACCGCACGCCACGCACGGCACGACCACACACACACACACACACACACACCACACACACACACCACACGAGACATACACACATACAGTACACATGAACGATAAACGCGCGCACGGCACGCAGCCGCACCCACACACGCACGTACAAAGCTTTACGCACTAAAATATAAAGTATGCAAATAATGACAATACACATACCTATAAGTCTTAATACACACACACACACATACACACACACACACACACACACACACACACACACACACACACACACACACACACAAACACACACACCACACACACCAGCACACACACGCACACGCACACACACCACACACACACCCCACGGCACACAAAACACACACACACACACAACAACACACACACACCACACACACACACACACAAACACACACACACACACAAACACAACACACACACCACACACACACACACACACACACACACACACACACACACACACGGACATAATGACAATACACATACCTATAAGTCTTAATACTATCCATTGCACTCCTACAGCTAGAGATCGCTGCGAAACAGGAACGCAGCTGAAAAATAATGCTTTGTGTCAAGATATTATATATATATATTCCTATATATAGAGGCAAGCTTAAGCGCGGAGCTCCCAATAAAATTCAAGATACGTACATTATGTGCACGACAATAGGTGTTACTACGTAAAGTCAACTTAAATGGCAGCTGTAATTATATGCACACCCCCCCCTTTTGATTGGCGGTTTTACACACACACATACATAACACCCACACACACACTACACACACACACACGACACACACACACACACACACAACCACCAGCACAGAACACACACCACACACACACACACACACCACACACATATATATAGTATATATATATATATATATAATATTATATATATATATATAGAGGCAGAGAGACGAAGGATAGAGAAGATGTGTTATTCCACGCTGTAGAGATAAACTTGGCCTGTGCGTTACATTATGTTCGGGGTTTCGCAGCTGTCACGTGATCACTATGAAATCACTTGAATGTTGACTCGCAGAGGGCATAATGTGGAAGATGGCGTTGGTGATTTTGTGTTTTTTTTGGTAAATCGGCTTATTCCTCAGTTCGTAATTCTTTGGGTAATGGGCTGCATGTATTAAATTTGAGTTTATGACACTTTATTTGAAAGACTATACTTCCGCTCGCACTGCCGGTTCGGGTACGCATGCACGCCTACGCTGCCGAGATGACTTTGTAAGTCTTGGTTATATATGAAATTCACATTGGTAGGTTACGCACTCAGGCTAATCACACACACACACACACACATATATATGTGTTGTACACATATATGTGTTTTACACATATATACACACACATATATATTTATAGTGTTATATATTTATATATTTATATTTATACATACACATATACACACACACACACACACACACACACACACACACACACACACACACACATATATACACACACACATATATTCCCTATTATCTACTCCTGATATATATATAACATAAAGTCCCCAAGCGCATGACGTTTTCCCATTGTTTCGATTGATTCCTTGAAGAGCACTATGGGATGGGGGGTCTCGACCACGAAGTCCAGCAACAAAATTCCTTCGTCCGATAATAATGTATGGTGCTCCGCTATAAATCCTCCAGATCATGAATTACCCGACTGAAACCCTTAAACCTCAATTTGGATTTGTATTGATTAGCTACTCCTATCTCTTGCTTACCGTAAGATAGCTGATTGTGTCGGCGTGGCGGAAATCATCTCGAATAATATGAACAATGCGAAGACTACGATGAAGTAGGATAAATTGTTGCAGTCAGTGTCACACCGGCCGCGCGTGCCGTATGCTGTACCGATACAATCGCAGTTGGTGAAGACCTACATAACGAGAGTTATACTGTTATACTTGCGCATTGTATCGTATTGTAATTATGTTTTGCTTTGCTTGTAATTACTTTGAACAAATTATTTGCTTCGTATAAAATTAAATGTTTTGGTCGTTTTTTGCATTTAAGTCATTAGCGACGACACCGCGTTGACACGTCCTAACGCTGTCACGCAAAGCAACAACTTTGTTCCACAATTTCTAGCATATTCAATACAATATATATTATAAATATATATAATATATTATAAAGTCTTAACCATTTTAAAGCGTTCTTATAATATTCTAAATCAATTCAAATTTATCTAAAACTATTTTATTTCAATGTTTTATTTGACGCTATTCCTGTTTAATTCTATATCTCTGTGATATTTCGTAACTCTTGACTAGTTTGAGATCTCGGTACGTGTTTGCCCAACCAGTTCAGTCATTCTAGCAAGGCTATAATTCACTCCAATGAGCTCCCCTACCCAATCCCTTCGAGTCCAAACACCTTGAAGGTAGACGGATTCGAATAAATGTTTACAAATCTCCTTCGCTTTTCTTGCGTCGTTGCAGAAGAGGAGCGATAGCGACATGTAATGTAGAATGTAACTAAGCGTGGCAGTCACGCGTCTGTTTCACAACGAATATACAGCGATTACCAATAGGACGGTATCGTTATTAGCGGATGCATCTCACACGGTTTCGCGTGGAAGATTATAATTTAGCGGTGCAGTTCGCGTTTGCAATTTAGAGATTGCAATTTTCTAGATTGCAATTTTTGATTTCTAGATAGATTTCTTTTTTGATTTCTAGATTGCAATCTAGATATGCAATTTCTAGATTTCAATTTTCTAGATTGCAATTTAGCGGTGCATCCTGCCGTCTCGAAAACCATATATATAGTTGCTTCGCCTCCGTTGCCTTATTTTCTATCGAAACCATGTAATACTAGAGTAAATAACGGTAGGTAACGGATTAAATTTTTTAATTCATGCAACAAAATAGCACGTGTTTTTGATTTTAATTACCATTTGGCCGTCGTCGTCGCTGCTTGCATTGCAACCAGCGAAACAAGGTGAGAAATATCTGACGTTGTCAGCGCCGCATAGCGGATTGTATTCCTCATAACTGCAACTGCAGTGTTGGTTGCAGGCTGCCGTGAATCCGGGCGTCTCGCTCGAATCACTAAAAAATATACAAACACTCACATCAAATAATAATAGTATATGGCCCGAAGGTAGTGTTGACTGCGGTGAGATCATTTTATTGTTCATGTTTTTTATATACTATATTTAATCTCAGGATCCATCTGTAAATCTCGTGATCAACTGAGTGAGGGTATGGCCACGAGATGACGCGGAATGCCACGTGATCGTTCGCTGGCTTCGTTTTTAGGTCAGTACATAAAGTCTAGTGACCCTGTTGCCGGTCTAATCGCCACATGACTACATTAGCTGTGCGTGTACTCATGATAAAAATAAAAATAAATTCAAATTTTTGTGGCGCAAATATGTCTTTTAAAGGGACCGTACACACTTAACGTTAAAGGGTTAGTTGACTCTAGGATTTTACTGCATACAACTGTACTTACTGTATAACAAATCGTCTATACCCACACGTATTTGTTACCAGATACCTAATTTAATTGTTATAATTAATTACACATCAACGCTACGAAATTTGAACGGCGCCATGACACCCGCGACCGTGCTGTATTTATGCGTATTTAAATGCACAAGCCGGGTTGCGATATCTTTTTTTGAACCAGGCACAGAAGGTAACCGGTTGCACGTTAGATGTGAATGAAAATAGAATTAACGTACGTAAACGTAACATGAGCGAAAAGCGTCATATACATTAGCCGTGTACGTATACACAATTTAATGTGAATTGTCACTAAAGGAAAGAAGAGCGTTTAAAAAACGATCCTGGGTGTTACAACTTACAACAGTAGTTTGTAGGCCTACTTAGATAAAACGTAGGAATATTCTCACGGCGCGAGAATAGCGGTGTAAGAAACCTACACATGGCTAGCATAGCTCATAAATCACTCCATCCCTTTCCATATCCGCACAGAATCTCACAGAGAACCATGCACACTCACAGTGTGACAGCATACTCACTTAAATGGGACAGTGACGCCCGCAAAGGCAAAATTCGGACAAGTTATGAGTAATCCCAATCCGGACACCATCGACAGAGCTAAAGCGAGGATGGTCAGCTTCAGCATTCCCGGCGTTCTCAGCGATAGTCTGCGTGCGATGTATCCTCCCAGGAAAATGCCGGTCGCTGCTGCACCCACCGTGACAGCACCTGGAACATGTACGAATCAAACACCATGTAGGTGTCTCTAACGCTGTCGCGCACGCGGTGATAACCTCTCAGCAATACATGAAGCAGTATTATAAGAATCCCCCCGTAGTAGCAATGCACGAAGGGTCGTTGTCGTAACAGGTACTACAGATATGTACCCGAGGTATTTTTAGGTTGTTTAGTATTATGTTTATATTTTTATATGAGGTATGTTTAGGGTTAGGATTAGGGTTAGGGTTAGAGTTAGGGCTAGAGTTAGGATTAGGGTTAGTGTTAGGGTTAGGTTACACTTCTGTAGTACAAGTCTGGTACACTTTGTGTATACATATATGTACCTCGGGTACATATCTGTAGTACCTGTTACGACAACGACCCCTTGAGCCGTAGTAGCGGCGATGACCATGATGGTAGCTAGAGGTGAATGTTTGACGTAGTACAGGATCGAACCATGTTTCCGCAGTATTGCTAGTCAATAAATGTTTGAGAATGGAACTTGCAGAAAAAAAGTGACGATAAAGTGACGCTAGAGACGGCGAAGGGATAAGGACATTGTCCGTGAGAGCGAGATAGTGGATGTGGGAAAAATAGCAGCAGAAGTTATTGAAAGAGTGGATTATGTCAGAAAAAAAAAATATGAAAAAGAACAACAAAGCAGAAGGTTGAAAAATAAAACAGAAAGATAGTATGTATACATCTGCGTGTGTATGTATGTATGTATGTATGTATGTATGTATGTATGTATGTATGTATGTATGTATGTATGTATGTATGTATGTATGCATGTATGCATGCATGCATGCGTGCGTGCGTGCGTGCGTG